AACAATATTAGATGTCCTTCGCATAGTTAATTAATACTCGATTTGGTTCGGGACGAGGATACACTGGTTTTTATATCCGTCGGTCGCGCGTTTGTAATTTAACTATACATTATATAATGTGTAAACGGGAAATTAAAAGCAGTTGTAAATAATATAGTCTCGTTTATAACTGTTTTTTGTACGGCGTGAAAGTTTTCAGAGCATTTTATGGGCTGTATGTAAACAGCGCACGTCTAAGTATAATATTGTTTACGCGATTACCTATGCTCGATTTTGGCGTGGTATCAATTCGATGGAGATATTATGACGTTTTAGTGCACGAAAATATAATAATAGAATAAGAATACTAATATATTCTAAAGCCATAGGGTTCCATTCGAAATCTTGAAAATAAAGAAAAATCGCGAAAAAAAAAACGAGGAATGTTGTTTAACAGTGGAAACAATAATCGTGAAAAATAAGAGATAAAGAACTTTCGAATAGTTGTTTTAAAAGAAAATAGATAGTTCTGATCTAAGTTCAAGAAATTATTTGTAATCGTTTACTCATTAAGTTCATCATTAAGTTTATTAAAAACATTTATGACCTTCAAGGAGATTCCGTAAACATCATTCATATGATAATCGAAATTATCATACTGATATTTATCAAAATTAAATATTTTTTCTTGGTTGTAATAAAAAGTGTTTTGTATCCATTATACCAAAAAAAAAAAAAAAAAATAAAAAAGTAAAAGCTCAATATCAATGAAAATAAATCCAGTATTATTGTTCGTAAGTTTTAGATGGATCTAATATACTTATATATTGATAGGTAGATTGAAAAAGATTTTTGTTTTTTTCATGTAGTTAGATTATTAAAATATGGATTCGAAGTTTGAATAAAATTTTATAATTGAAAATAAAAATTATGAGCTGAAATTATTTGTTTTTGTTTCGTATGAATGTAAAATCAATATAAGTCGTTATTATTATTATGACTATTAAAACATGTTACGAATATAAATTTTGCGATTTTCGAATGGACGCGCTTGGATAAATTCGGCTTTACATCAGGTAAACAGTTTATTGAAAAGCGACGGCGTCGTGATTGTGGTAATGGACGGACAGCAAAACAAAAATATGTAAAATAAATTTAAAGCACCCGCAAGACCACTCGCAATAAATATTGTACCTTGGCAGAACAAATTATAACAATATCGCATAATATAATACGTGTGTAAATTTGCGCGCACAATTCAAATCGGAACAATGGTTTACGCGTTTTGAAAAATCGAATCGTGTCTCGTTGTATTGTATTGTTTTACTTTTTTTCATTTTTTGTACACCCCGACGATAAAATATTACCACGACTCGTTTATCAGTTAAGTGTGATATAATTTCGCGCAGTCAATTCAAACTTAATCGGATCATTTATTCCAGCGAACATTGTTTTTATTTTATTGAATTTTTTCCCCTCGTGGCCACCCCATCTGTGGTCGTCTACCACGTGGGTAGTTTCATCAACCGAAATCCGTTTTGGCGGTGACATTGAAGTGCTCGTTAACGAACAATTCTACTGAAAACCCATTAACACTGATACATAATCTGCGGCAGCGGCAGACTCTCGAATTCATTCATTAAGCTCCCTGCATCCGCGCATACCATCGACGATGTCGTCTTCACTGAATCGTTGCGTATCATAAATATTTGCACATTCTACGCTTTAGACCTGTCGTCCAAGGCAGAATAACTACGTGTGTATTTTTCTAAAATCTTTAAACATTTAAATTAAACTAAAAAAACCCACCCACCCACCCACAAAAATATTCACCATGATGCTTAGGTGTCATAAAAACCCTTTCACCGCGCTACTACCATGGTCCACACCCAATCGCTGTAATTCTCTCAAGACATTCTTATATCCAGCTCCGGAATCTATCATCTCCAATCTAATCCTACCATATGTCCAGGGTTTTCGTTTATTACCACAACAGCCATTAAACTTTACTAAAACTTTTTTTTTTTTATGGATCCCTCGTGATACTATGAAATATTCACAGAGCCCTAAAAACCGGGAATAACCATTATAGACAACTATTCATAGAGTTACATATCAATGAACTACGTCCTTATAATACTTGTATTTATTGGCTTATTAATATAATCAAACACTAAGCACTCATAGTTATTTTCTGACCAATATTCTATATAATTCATAATTTATATAAATATAAAATTATTTAACAAATGGAATTAATTATCTGAATTTTATTTAATTTACATGTGTACGTGGAGCACCACTTAAATTACTTTTACTGAAATTTAGGGCTCCGTGGATCACAATTTATGTACAACTGTTTAAATGCAGTTATTTGTCCGTAATATTATCGTCAATGGAGTTTTGTATCTAAATTCAATCCACATAAAATCGACGAGTGAATAGTTGATAACGAATTATTTGGTAAAACCATACAGTACCTGCATTAAAATATCCCTGATTGCACTTAAATTTACTATCAGAAATGTTTATAAGATTCAAATTGCACTGAACTTAAAATAAAATCCTATATTTAGCTAATAAAGGAGCGTTCCAAAAGAGCCACTGTTAAGTTTAAATTTTTTTTTTTATACAATTTACAATCCCACATTTTTTTGGCAAAACACATTAGTTATGAGCATCGTTACAATTTTCCGAATTATAATATTATATTTAAGGTGATGATCAAGTGTGTTTGTACTTGTATGTATTTGTATCTATTACTTTTATAATCCGATTTATAAATAACCATATTTTTAATAACAAGTACAACCATTTAAATATTTTTAGAAATTATTGTAATATTTGGTTTTTTGCGATTTAAAACTTCTAAAAATATTTGTATATTATAATTAATAATTAAAAATTTCAGTGAAAATATAATTTTGCTATAGCGTAATAATACATGTTTACATTTTATTTTATTCTTAATAATAATCGATTACTAAAACCTTGTCAATAAAAACATAGAACCGATCAAATAAAGATAATATCGATGATTATTTGAATCTTTTTTCAATGAGTATTTTTTAAAAAAACAGTGATGTAATTACAATGTTATACTTATTTTTTGTTTTATAATTAGAATTACAATAAAACTGTATTCGTATTTACTATAAAGAAGATTTTTTATGCAAATTATAACATATGCATCTGCTCATCTGTTCGTGGACTTGTTGATTAAACAAGTGGTATATACAGCACGTTATTATGATAATCAAAATATCGTATGTTCGATGCTGATACAATATTGTATTATCTCAAGTACTCGAATTATTTTAAAACATAAATACAAAAAATAATGCCTTTTGATTAAATTAAGTTCAAAACTAATTAAAAATTAAACTCCCTCGAGGATAAAACCCAAACGATGCAGCGTAAACTGAAATTATATTTTCCTGTTTAAGAAATAAAAATAAATTAAACTCATTGGAAAAAAAAATCGATTTAAATTTTCTCATTTCAAACTTTAAAATTATTTTCAAGAAAATCGCATTAATAGTTAATACGTATTTAATAGTACCCTGCGAAGGTTGATCAATATTTTCCGAGCTTTATTTGTCGACCGCAATATATTGTATATTTGAAAACGTGAAAATCTATCTTTATTATTTTTATTGAAACGTTTTTTGGAAATTAGCAAAATTGATTCATCAGGGTTAACTGAAACACATAAATAGGACGAAAAAGGGTTCATAGCCCTTTGGGACTATTTACCTGTTCAGAAATTAAAATCTATTATACTCATTTTTATCGCTTTTTTTTTTTTATATATATTATTTTCATTTCGTTAAGAGTACGTTTTATTCATAATTGAATCGTATTTTTGTTTCGACCATTCTAAAGCTCGTTAAAATCATTTTCGTGTCTAAGCGAAATGTGAGCGTAGGTATACGTATAAATATGTACATATATTTATGTATAAACACAACGTGGTACTCGGAATCTCGCTAATTATAATATCCCGAGCAGCTTCATTAAATTCGACTTTATGCAAACTTTCTGAAATCAACCCAAACTAACACGAACGTGTGCGGACTTCGATCGATATTCGTAAAATATTATAATCACTCGTAGCACACGGTCTCGGAAACGTTTACCGCGACCGACGGACCGTTACATGATCGTTTTGGAAACGGTCGAACAGCGTTTATAATACGTGTCTTGCTCGTCATCGGACGGTTATCGATTCGTACCTGTCTCACTACCGCGGTACAGAAGACCTATAACTCGACGTACGCATTGGTTCATGGCCAGGGTTTCAGGGATGCGTGTATGCTTTACCCGTCCGTCGATTTTTTTTAACTTGACACTGTTACTTTGTCGACGAAACGTGTAAAGCGCCTGCGCAGACACGCAGCCACTACGTTGACATGGTGATGGCTAAGCACCCCTCCGAACTGATTTTAGCACCCCTTCGGTTATAATTTCTTCGGAAACGGATATGAATTGATTGCTAAATATATTTTCTGGAAGAACATAGAAAAATCAATTTGCGAAACAAACGCATTACGAACACGATCAAGGACATGGTGAACAACAAAAACAAATAATCACATAATTTGTGTTCGAGCGTCGTTGAATATTTATTTGATTAATTCGGTATCAGGAGCTAAGCACAAACCCTGGTTTTTTTTTTTTTTTTTTTACCGTACCCGCCACTGACCACGCTCGTCGCCGCGGTCGTTTGCGTTGGACTCGACGCGTACGTACAGGTTTTCGTCGATCCAAAGCGATCATTTTTTTTTGTCGTCCGAAAACCGGTTGCCGTCAAGTCCGACGCGAAAACGATCGTAGCGACGTCTCAAGTGCGTGGAACGTTGTGCGAGACACGTGCCGGTGGCGACGACGGGTTCACGAGAAGCGGAATCCGGCGGTAGGAGCGGGGCTGGGGGGTGTAACCTTTCGGGTGGCCGATCTAACGGGCATGGGGGTGCGGTGGCGGACGGCGGCGCGCGACACGTTGAAAAATCGTACGTCACCGATAATGCCAGCCATGAGAGCGACCGGCGATAGTACGGTGGAACATTCTTCAGCCGAGCCCTCGGCCAGCCGGGTCGCCGTTTCGTCGGTCCTCCTCATCAGTCCCAGTAGGCAATACGGATCGCTATAACCTGACGACAACAACCAACCGGTCAACCATCGCGCACTGGCCCACGTGCACCGTTTCATAATGTCGTGTTAACGGTGGCGTATGTGCGTGTGCGTGTGTGTGCGTGTGCGTGCGTGTGCGCTGCCGTTCGGGGCTTGGAATCAACGGCGGTCGTTCGAGCGCCAGCCGAAAATACCGTAAAATACCGAAAATACCGTCGACGAACCGGTACCGAAAGTCAGAAGTCGTCGAGAAACTGCTGTGATACCGCGAGTAACAGCGATAGTGATGGGCGATTCGAATCGATTTTTTCAATCCATCTCCACCGCCCGATATCTTTAAATATCGATAATTTTTCGGATCGATCTTTTCATTCCGATTTAAATGGATTCAAAAGATCGATTCATTTTCAAGAATCGCCTTTCACCAGTTCTGACCGACGTTCGGAATCGTAACGGATCGGTGGTATTGCATTGGTTTCAAACACTGGGCGATTGCACAATGATGTTTCTGTGTGTGCATAATCGTGTGCGTGTAATACAAAACAATACGGTATAACAATTATTGTCAAAGCAATCCAACGTATAAAGACAAAACACAATATACACGTATTCATTTAAACTTATTGACCGTAGACTCATTGAACATCGGGTTTTACACATATTATTTGGTTATAACACATTGGCTTGGTTTATGTAATGTGCCACATGTGCTCACAGTACGCACTGTTGATTAACATCGTTACGATGTCAATGTGTGATCACACATGAGTAACGAAATAAGTAATGGTTTTTTTTTTAACTTTAAACCATTTTCTCTCTCTCTCTCTCTCTCTCTCTTTCTAACACACTTAGGCACACACACACACACACACACACACACACATACACACACTCCGAAGACATTATATCGACCGTATAATGAAAAATCGAATAATATTAACATAGGATGTTTTATGGAATGTTATATATAATATATATATATATGTATGTATAAATACGTATGTAAATTGGTCTACATACGACCTATCAGTAGCAGCGTGTGTTTCAAGAATAATAGAAATTAAAATAAAATAAAAACCACCTCGTTTGATTTGTTTGATTGTCAACCAAAAATGATAGTGTGGGACTTTGCATTCATCGGGTGATTTTTTGAATTAATTCAAAAAATTCATGCGTAAATATCCACGTTGAAACGTACTTATTTACTGAAGGTTAACTCGGTGTAACGATGAGACTAATATTGTTACATTTGCTATGCACGCGTTGGAGAGAGATCAGGCCACTAAGGGATATATTAATGATTATTTTTTTATCATTTTTATGTTTCGTTTTCATCCAAATGTTGTTTATTGACTTTTATTTGATATGAATTTTATATATTTAATTTTATTCTTCACATCTCCTGAATATAAATTGTTATCAAAGTTTCAAAACGTATACATTTATTTGTATTAAGCGATTTCCATAGGAATTAATTGCACACAAATTGTATATGAACATATTAATATTATTATTGTTTAAGGAAAAGGGAAAATTTCGTTAGTGATAAATAAATAATAAATCAAAAACCATCGTGCGTTGCGTACGTGGAAATACATAATATTTCAATACATAAATAAATATATTTTAAAACAATTAAAAATGTGTCATTCAGAACAGCGTAAAAAAAATGTAAATCCATAAACAATAAAGACTAATGACTCGGAACAGCATTTCAATAAATAATTGGTTTTTTGACAGTTATCGTTTTAATAGTATCTAGTATTCATAGGGCTCCGAGAGATTTGTAATACGCGAGTGTACAGTGTAAAATAAAATAAAAAAAATGTACATTTATATTTTCACTTTAAATATGATCTGTTAATGATAGATTTATATTACACATATTTACGTACTTGTTGCCGATTTAACGACACACACTTTATTTCAAATTTATCTGTCGTACAAAATCATCTAAATGTACTGCACATTATAGTATAATATATTGCTGTTCCGTGTCGTGACGGGTTAGGTTATGCTCAGGCGAGTATATGAGGATGGAAGGGGTTCTGGGTTGAACTTCCCCTCTACTAAAATTGTTGAAAAATATGTACATTTATATTTGTACACCTATACTTAACGATCGATAAGATTTTTCCACGTTAAACACATTAAGAAGGTAATGAAAACGAAATCGAAATTTGTAAATAGTCTTTGTTATCGTAGCTTTAAAACCCTCAAAACAATTTTTTTTTTGTGTGTACGCGCCTGGCTGTGGAACCGAAAAATCGAATAACCATTCGTTTCAAATATTACAGACAACACGCGGAAAACAAGGAACGTCGTGATATGCGATTATGAAAGTATTTATGTTACCGAACACATACGATAATGGTATAGACGTAACCTTATGTGCATTGACCCGTAGCAATTATAATATATCATGGAAAAATCGTTATTTGAAATTTCCGAGAAAATATTTACAGTTAAATCTCGTTTGGAAAGCGGATGGGCTTTACTTTCCCGTTAACCGTTAAAATACGTCTACGGAATACATTCGAGATTACATTTCAGCTAATTATAATAATAATAATAATAATAATAATGCGATGATACGATATTTTCATCTTGATGAACATTTTCCTAAGATACTATAGACGGCGAAAATGACATTTTACCGGAACCCACGGTGTCTCGTTACTCGCGTGCGGTTCTCCAGCGTGGCGTATGCACAAGGCGAACGGACGAATAGAGATGCTTGAAGATAAACCGCTGTTGTAAATGAGTGGATTTAATCAGGTAAAGAGCTCGTTTCGGAATTGTGTTTCCATTGAGATTATACCGGAAGCGGGATAGTGTCCATTAATCACACGCTTCGAGAAACTCGGGAAATTAAATTTTACCCTCTTAAATTTTTTTTTTTTTTTCTAATATACCTATTCGCAGGTAAACATGAAATTCGATATTACGATTTGTCTTTCAATGAGACCATATTCGCTACCCGAATGACTCCTATTACCAATCACAGTTCGCACTGGTTATTTCATTGTGATTGGTTTTCACAACATTTCGCACCTACGCTCTTACTCATGAGTCCACACACTTGCCAAGGAATAAAATGTTAATGAACAAATCGGAACACATTGTTTTTTCAAGTCAGTTTTCAGAAGATTTATAATTTTTAATTAATGAAATGATTAGAATAATACGATATTATATTATGATAATATTAAACTCTAAAATATTCTCTGAAAAAAAATTGTGTCAAAATGTAAATTGGATAAACTTGAATAAAAATTAAAGGTGTTTTAAAGCATTGAAATGTATAAATGGAATACTGTAATTTTAGTAGATAAAATAATAAGTAAACAATTATAGTTTGTTATGATTTACAAGTTCGAACAAATGAATGATAATTATTATAAAATACGGGCGAAGATCAGTATTTTCATGTTTTTATATTTTTAATTTACAACGCAATTAAATAAAAATAAAAAAAAAAAATAAATGTATGTATATTCGAAATATTTGAAAGTGCGATCAAAATTCGTATTAAATTTCAAGCAAATCATACAGTACTAACATGTCTGCGTACTTTTTTCTTCAAAATTACTAAACCAGTAAACCATTTTCAGTTTATTTGCCCCAACCGTAAATAATATAAAAACGTAATAAAATATAACATTATGTGTAAACACGTATAACGCAAATTATACATAACACTGTTGAATTTCAATTCACAGTTTTGTGTAGTTGAGGATTATAACTATAAGGACTTGGGATATAATTAAAGAAAGTTATTGCTACATTCATTTCAATTCCCAACGAAATGTCTCTATATTTTATAAAAGTATCTACTGAAAATATTTTATTATTTTTTATGCATACATTGTATTGAGATAATTTCAGAAGTTTCAGATATGGAAATACTCTAGACAATTAATGTAATACATTCAGTTGGTTAAATTGCAATATTTTGATTCCACCCAAGATGGTTATTTGCACACAAATATATCAAACCTTTTTCATACTCTTCTATTAGAACTATTTTTTTCTTAAAAACCTTTTATTTATTCATATATGAATTTTATATATGTTGTTTAAGTAACATTAAAACTAAAAATAAAAGTTCACAAGACACACTTAACATCATACATTTTCATCCATCTAATTGAAACTATGGGTAATGCAATAAACAATAAAAAAGCAAAATATAAGAACTAAACATGACTTTATATATATATAAAAAAGCAAGTAAACATTTTTAAAATTGATTGATATCAAATATTTTTTAATTCAATTATATGTGTACACGATTAAATAAGATAATTATAATTTCCTAGTAAACCTTTTGTTTGAAAGTTTGATAACAATTTAAATTCATAATGAGATGACTGACGAGCATATAGATTTAACTGTTTTAAATATTTATTTTTTGATCGAAGTAGTCTAGTGTATATTTAAAACTACATGTTTATAATGCATTTAATTATTTTTATTTGACAGCGTTATCCTAACGACAAACATAAATAGCATGGATTTTTAAATGTAAAACTAGAACGTTGGAATAAATTAATCTAAAATATTACATAAAACCATAAATATGTTTATTTTTGATATTATTTTATTTATTGAATTTTATATTTCTTGAATATAATAAGTCACAAGTTGGTGTGAGGATTCATGAATTCGAAAAATACATTAACAGAATCAAATAACACGTATAAAAACATTTGTTATAAATAGTTCAACTTTTTTAACGACGCGTACACTATAATATTTAAACGTTAACTGAATTTAATTTAAATTAATTTTAAATTTAAATGATGAAAGAACTTTAAACAATTATTTTTATTTTTTAAGCAATATTGAACTTTTAACTATTGATTTTTTAAATATTTCTATATTAGTCTGTCAGTAACCAATTAAAAGTTTAAAAGTTTTAATAATTAAAATGTTTAGTTCACAACGGTAGCACATTTTATATATTTTTTTACACGTAAAAAATAAGATTGTGATAATTCTCAACGTATGAATGACATATAAATATTAAACAGTTATTTCTTAGTATGACAATATTTTAAAGTAAGATAAGTTTCTACTATGTACGAGTATAGTACAAGATTTTTGAAAAATACATTTTTAGCCGATAATACATTTAAATCATTGTTAAGAAATTCTGTATAGTACAATAGGGATCTGTGGTATGATTTTTATTACATTTTATTTTTTAATGAGTCTATTGTTGCTTTATGAACAGTGTTCTGAACAGAAATACCATTAATAAAATGCAACTATCAATAATAATGTTATAATAATTTATACAGCATTATAGTATATGTTGTTATATTAACTATATTATGCTGTATGTATGCCAATTTTGGCGTTTATTACAATAAATAATTAATTAATTCAAAATTACTTAAAACATCTACATCTTACAAATCTTAAACGAGACTAATATGTATGTTTATAGATAAATTTGATAATTATGTGGTTACTTAATGTTTTAAAATTCAAGTCTTGGATTTAATTAATAATTTTTTTTTTGATTTCATCAGTAAATTTACTGACCTCGTATAATATTAATAATTTGTAGTCAAACTCTGTATCTATTTTTTTTTTTTTTTTTTTTTTTTTATGAACAGTTTATTTGTATTATTTCACCTATATTATTTGAGATAGGAAAAATTAATATTGTTCCATTAATAGTATCACATTCTTATTTTCATATTTACGGGCCAAATCACTATTTGTAATCACGTATGTATTAGAATGTTCACACTATACTATTGTTGCAATGCTAATAATATCATTTATTTTTTTGTAACTCCCTGTACAATAAATATAGTATTACCAAGTGGCCCGTCTTTTAGAGCGAAACACTGATGCGTACCGATATTGCCTATCCAACACGCCGTCTACCCACAAACAATACTTAACTAGATAATGACTTTTTTAAATTTTAAACTAGAAACCCGGGGAAAAAATACGTTAGCGGTAAAAACCAGAAAAAAAACCTAATTCGAATACGAATTCCTTTTTTCGCCTGGTATTTTTTTCTTTTAAATCTTTTTTTCCGCGTTATACAAACAAAATCGCTGACGCAACGATAACGAACGAGCATGCGTGTACAACGCCATTAACACACATCCGGATATCTTGGTCGTGAAGGGATAGAGGACTGTTTTACGCATTTTTATTTCCTCACTTACCGTTAGCATCTTTCGCCTCCAGGCCTTCCGCTTCAACCACGGTCACGTGTAGTACCACGATTGGAGGCTAGAAATAAAAATAAAAATAAAATAAGCACGTGACAAAGTATATTAACATACGTGTATAGATAATAGAAAAGGAACGGCTTTACGGAAATTTGCACAATAATATCCTCAATATAAACTCGTACAACGTAATAATAATAACGGAAAAGGATCTCTGGTCGCAGTGACGCGTGTGCATAACATAACGAAACGATAATGAGATTTCTTAGAATTTATCACTCATATCTATCCACCTGTAATGAAGTAAGGGAGTAGCACAATACGACGTGAACAATTGGACCTCGGATTCACTCGTTAAATTTGCAAAAATACTGGACTTTAACAAAAAAAAAATAAATAAATAAATAAATAAATAAAAATCATGACACCGCGTTCGAGGTTACGTACAGAGTTAAGATATTGTGATTACGAGGGCATACAACATTCGTTTGATGTTTAAAGTACTCGCTTTATTCACAAAATTTAAATCAGTATTTTGAATTGTTGAAATTTTCAAACTATATTGTATCTAATTTCATGGGTTGCATAAGTATACGAAGAAGTCTTGATCTCCTTCGGAGTAAGCTCCATTGTGGTCCAAAAATGAAAAGCTTATAAAAATGGCAGGTAATTTTATTAAAATCTATACTGCTATAAATATTACAACCAGTAGGTGTGGTTGATTGTATGGTGTATAACGACTTTTCCATTTTTTGATCGGTGGGTATACTTATTATGTAATTTGTGATACGCAGGTAAACTATCTATGCTATGAATTTTATAGCTATAAGCAGTGTTGACGAATTTTGACATTTCATTCTAAAAAAATTAAAAATTCCCGACATTCTACCTTGTTGTCACGTTTCTGAGAAACGGTAAATATTTATATATTTTACATATCTATTTTTAATTTTAAAATTAGTTAATTTTAATTTAATTAGTTAAAATAAGTTAAAACTAGTTAAATTAGTAAATTTAATTTTCAAATTAAAATTAAAATTAATGCACGGAAATATAGTTTAAAATCCCGTTACACCACTGAAAGTTGCTATAATAGTTTTCAATTGTATTTTATTGATTTTAAATGTGAATATTTATTTTGTTAACTATTATTGATGATTAAAACAAAAAAAAAAAAAAACATTTTCATACATAGAAGAATATTATAAAAACATTATTATGTTATATTTAGCAATCGCGTAAAAATATATTACTAGGTGTTATATTTGTCTTTGAAACATCTCTCTAATAATCAAAACTTGGGTTTTCTTGTTGAAATTTTAGTCAGGCCTTATGAATTAAACTAAGCATATCGTTTCATACTCAAATAATAAATAATATTGTGACTTATTAAGTACAAAATATACACAAAGTAAAAATGCATTTTATTTTTGTGATTAATACTATTATTATTATTATTTTCATTAATAATATTATTTTATTCATTTCGCTTTTAGTTTTTATATTTAGACGGAATTGACAAAATATAACTTTTGATGGCTTGAGATATAAATTAATATTATACGTTCTGACATTAATCATTTGATTTCTAGATAGCCCTTACTTATTAAAAATCCCGATTGTCCAATAAAAGCACTCATTTAATTAAATATGATTATGTTGTAGACTATATGATGTTTATAGCTTTCATATGAGTTTAAAAATTATTCTAATCAAATTTTCTCTGATTGTATTTGGTTAAAAATAACTACGCTTAATACTCATTATAAAGTTTAACCATAATATTCATTACGGTTAGTCAACAATTTTAATACTTTAATTTTTTTTTATAACTATATACTAAACGTTAAACTAATGCTTAGTTAACAAAATAAATTCGAACCACCACAAATGAAGAATAATTTTCATTACTACGCCAGTCATAAAAGATTTTTAACTGGCAAAGCGTTTAATGGTTACACATTTATTTTATTAATTGTCAATAACCTCCTTTTTTCTAATGAATATTTTTTTTTCGCAACTTTGTTAGTTTAAAAAACTTAATTTAAAAATACTCACTGGTTATTTCTCTCGCAGAAAATAATAATAATAAAAGTAAATTGTATAAATTGTCACTTTTATTATAGAAGTACGTCGGAAACTTCAACAAAATATTAAAAAAAAAAAAAAAAAAAAAAACAATAATCTATAGATTAAATAAGCTTATATGTGTTTCGGATGATACGAAAGTAATTATAGCATGTAGACGTTTTGGAATTTGTTATATATTTCGCACTCTAATTAGAGTGCCTCTTTAGCACCAGTGTTTTTTTCTGATACCACTGATGATAGCCATTCCGGACGGTTAACTTTCACAGTAATAGTGATTAATTTTACAGAGATGTTCCGACAGTGAAGGGATGGGGTTAAAACGTCGAAATGAAAATTTGCTCTAGTTGAATAAACTTCACAGCGAAGAGAATACGGATACTTAAATGTATTACAGAAAAATTGAAAAAACTTACTTTTTCCTCGTGCACTATTGCCATATAACGTCTATGCTGTTCGGGCGTGACGTCAAATGCTTTTTGCGCATAAACGTACAGTTGGTCACGATGCGCACTGAGTTCTGTGTCGGCGCCAACTTTGTACTTAATTGTATACAAGACGTCCATGTACAAATGTTCCATCTGGTGAGAAAAAAAATGAATAATCATCAATTCGATTGTCATGTATTTTTTCGACGTTAATTCTGTTATATTCTGTTCCAGCAACTTTTATCAATTAATACATCGTATTTAATATTAAACTAACTCGTTTGGTAATTAGATCTGGATTGAATAAATAATACATATTGTATATTATATTATGTTATTATTAAATATTCTTCATTTTTTAAATAACCATTACAGTTATATCACATTTTGTGGTATTCGTGTTTCTAATATAAAAATACTATTCCAGATTGAAAGTATTATTTTCAAAATTTGTAATATTTGTACAACTCAATTAGTTGATAAGTTGATAAGGTTTAAACTTTCAAAAACGTATTGAAAAATAATTCATTTTTTCATATAGTACATGCATATTATGCAATGCTACTAAAATATAATTATAGTGGTTTAATAACCAAATAAGGTTAGGAAAACATAATATTATACTAAGTATTTATTAATGTAAATTACGACAATGTAGAATAATAATATGATAGAAAAATGTTAAGTAATTTATCACATAGTTATCGTTTTTACGTATTAGCTTCAAAATATAATAATAATAATATTTATTGTTATAAAATCAATAAATAAACAAACACCCCAAGGGGTATAAATACAGTAATAATTATTAAGTGAAAATTTATATTAATTATTTGAATTATAAATACAAGTCTTTAAAGTGGTGCAAGAATCAAAAAAAAAAAAAAAAAATCAAAATTTTTGTAAAATTTGATTGCATAACGTTGATAGGCGACACATCGGAATATTAGCAAAATAATTTGTTTTTGACTGTTGTATAGAAAAAGGAAGATTATGTCTAGAATTGAAAGAGGATACTTTAAGATCAATTGTTTGTAATAGTTCAGGACAGTCAATTCCTCCATTCAAGATTTTATAAATAAAAGTAGCATAAAAAACTAATCGTCTGGTCTTTAGTGATTTTAAATCTGCAAAGATTGCAATCACATTCATATATTGGTTTGATCTCATTGTTTTATACGCATAAAAACGGAGGAAATTTCTCTGAACCTTTTCTAATTTGATGATAAATTATAATTGATTTAGATTCCATAATACCGTGCCAAATTCAAGTAATGATCTTACTAATGAATAATATAATACTTTCAAACATAAAGGGTTATTAAAATCATGGTATGTACGTTTGATGAACCCTAACGAAGACTGGCCCCGTATATTTTATTTATATGCCCATTACAGGATAAATACATATATAAATACAATAACGAAATGTAATATTTCATACATTCTAGATTTCTTAATTATTACATTTTTTTTTTTCATACTAGTGTCTAGTATCGCAAATATATAAAAAATTTAATAAACCATGGAAATTTCATTTCCACCAGTCATTATCAGTCGGCAAGTTGATATATCAAACATTGAAATGTATACCTATCTATGAATTTATGGATTACTGTAATGATAATTATTGTAGTACAATAAATAATTCTGCACATAATTATTTCAATGAGTGGAGAACATGTTACATTAAATATTTAACATAATTTTAGTAAGTTATTTTCCCTTATTTGTCCATTGATATTTAGATATATAATAATTTAATATTGATAGGATTTCAAGAAGTGAAAGCAGTTGAGGGGTTGATCCAATTACAACCCTCCACCATAGATAACCGATACTATATAATGTATATGAAAAATTATTATAACTATTATCGTAACTATTATTTGAAGTCTTAAAAAAAAGGAATGGTCTTTGACGTCCAATGTTACATAGTTACATGCAATGTTACGTTACATAAAAAATGTTCAGAGTTTACTTGGAATGTTATTTTTACATGACTGTAACATTCTATTGCACGGTGGTTAGGATCTTAATCGTTCTAATAAGTTATTTTTTTGTACTCCAAAGCAACATAATAATAATAATATATATGAAAAGTTCCCTAAGACTACTAAATGTTACACAAATATTTGACATAGCGATAAGTGCTTCTATCAAGATTTTAAAAGAGATGATATTTATAATGACGTTGTGATATATTTTCGGTCTGACCGTCACATTAATCGATATAGGACGCTCAAAATTTAAATGTTGTCACCATAACTATGGTATACATTTACTATAATTATTTTTCACGTGTTGGTTGACACAATACAATTATTGTAAATTGTCATTGAAACATTATTATGATTGATTTTCTATATTATTGAAAAATTGCAACAGAATCGAACTAGCCATGTTTTGAATTGTTGGGCTATAGCTACACGGATAGGTTAGTGCATTATGGAGTGAATATTTTTAGGAATGTAAAATTAGTCACTAAATCATAATCATGGTGTAATCATGATGAGAATTGTTCTTTTAAGAAATATACTAGATGTAAATCAGTGTCGGTCTGGTTCATGAATGGAACTCCAGCAAAAAATTTACAATGAGCTCCTAAAAAACATAATAATTGGAGTATGATTCAATAACTATAAACTAAAAATGTTTTTTCTTGCTATGTTCTAATTCTACTACAAATTTCAAGTTATTTTTGTATTTACGTTTTTCCTTTTCGAATAATCATTGTTTGCCTGAATGTGATCGTTAGCAACACATATTATCTCAATTTTTCTAAGTACACATACTCCTATTTATATGTTTGTAAGATTTTGATCAAAATAACAAAAATGTATAAAGTATTGGGCTTATAAATATTTCTATTATATCACATTAACAATAATATAATTTTAATTTAATTCAGGAAAAAATTTATAAAAATTGTTGTATAAAATTATAAAACTAAAATCTTTTATTTAAACTTGGTTGTGTTGGTTCTTTATTTTTAGAAATATTTGGATATCCGGATCTGCCAGAACGTCACTGATGTTAATTATAAGTTTAAAAAACAAAATTTTAGAAGATTTTTATGTTTTTCTATTCTCCAGTTATCAGTATATATAGTTACGATTGTTAATATCAAAGGTGTTTAATGTAATTATATCAACTAATATTATAAAATAGGTACTGTAATATTAATAAATTATTTGTATATAAGCTATTTGACTTATTCAGGTTTTTAAACATAAGTATTATATTATGTAACTAACATAATTATAAACGATGATATATAAGTACAGTTAATATATTATTGATTTACATTTTCAGTAATTATTTTTACATCGTAATTAAATTTGTTTATGTAAATAAAAATAATCAACAAAATAAATATAACTCTAGTATTTATTCAGTCACAGAAGTTTATTTAATATTTTTTTATTTTTTTTTGAGTCATTGACTAAAAAAATGTAACTATACTGTGTTGGCTTGCTCATTTTGAGTATGTTATTAAAATAAGTCTGAATCTTAAATAAATTTTATTATATTAATATATTATTTAACTAGTAAATTTGTTTAACTATTAATTTTTATATTAATATAATGGTGTGCTTCATTATCTGATATATACGATTATTTTGTAATTGTTTTAAACGTGTAAGTTATTTGAATTACAAAGATTCAATAGATATACGAAATAAAAAATAAAAAGATAAAAAAATTAATATCAATATCAACAATAATAAACATAGGTGATATTTCAGTTAATTGTTTTTAAAAATAACCATTAGAAACGCAAAGTTCTCTTCACTTTGTTGTGTAAGAGGAATTATGAAAATATTCAGGCTAAGTGCTTCTGCTGTTCTTCAATATTACATTTTATATGCATATTTACATTTGTGGAAATAATTATTATGATTATGTTAGGTTACGTAAGGTCCAACTCAAATAATAATCTAATTACATACTTTCCCTTCGCTACCCTCTTCATTACACTGTATACATATACTCGTATATATATATATGTGTGTGTGTGTGTGTATGTTTTTAAAATTAATTTTCAAATTAAATATTTCATATTGTGTTTTCATCGGACCGTAGAACGTTTGTTTCGAGAAGCGTGAATAATTCGCGTGTGGTAATACTGGTAATTATAATAGTCCACTGTCAATGGTCATAAACGCGTCCGCGGGAAAGATTAAACAGGGCTAGGGACGACCGGGGTTTCGGTTTGCGAGTCGAGATTTAATTTGCACTCCGTTCGGTCGTAGTATTTATTGTTAATTGTATAACGTTGGACGATTCACATTGTCGACGGTGAGATATTAGGTTAACGTATGATATTCATAACAGAATACATTGATGTTTCTCATTAACTTATGAGGTCATATGAAAAAATTTTCTTCGTTATAAGTTTTCTTGTAAACATCATTTTTTTTATTATTACCTGTGCAAACTGGTCGTTAAAAATATATTGCACGTAATTATATAAAAATATGTTTATATATATGATACATGTTTGAGTCGAATATATCATGTTCTTATTTGCATACGGTTCATGTACTAACTAAATTTTAATAATATTAGTAATACGTATAACTTAAACTACTATATGATAATGTATAGATATATTTAGTAGGTTTAACGAAATGTGTATAATAATATTAAAGCAGTCCTAATAGTTAGGAGCCATGAATACTATTCCTGATTAATTAGTATGATACACATATATAGGATTTCAACATTCAATAAAATATATTTATTAAAGTTTCATACAACTTTTCATTTTGATGGAAATAAAATTGTATTTTAAACTATATAAATAAGTTTAATAAGCACGTTTATTCGTTCAATTATAAATTATATAATGATTCATATAAATTTTTTTTTTAAAAAAAAGGCTTCAGAACTTATTAATTACATACATTTCTTAAGCTATATTTATCGAATGTTTTATAATTTAATGTTAATTTGATGTATTTATATTTTGTAAATGGAGGCATTATTATAGAAATACAGAAAATCGATGTATGATTTCTTATAAAATGCAATTATTAAGTTTATTAAATAGTATAATTTATTAATATTTTTATTAGTATATTGTCAATATAACTAATATATTATAATCAAAGAAAAATCCAATCTTATTTTAAAGCACAGTAATTTTT